CCAAAATAAGTCATTTTACAGAATGTTGATTTAAAACATGGATTTGGATCTATTCTCTCAGCCAAAGAAAATCACCTGTTGAACATATAGTGAGAAAAAAGAGGAGAAAAGAAGTAAATTGTTTATCTTACCAGGTGTCAGCAACAGATTAAACTAGAATGCTGTTTAAGAAGCTCAGTTGTTAGTTTTGTTTCAAGATGCTCTGTGACCTGAGGACAGTCAGGAAACCAGGAGGAGGGAAGGAGGGAGTGAAGACTGAGGGAGGTAGAGACGAGGGGAGTAAATGAAGGAAAAGGAGGGGGGGTCCCTGGCAGGAGGTGGTAATGTAGAATAGTTCTTTAGAAGAAGGAAGAGAAGAGTGTTTGAAATGAGACGGGTATGAAGTGAGCTCCTTCCAGCACCAAACCTTGTCCGGGAGGCACAGCAGAATGTTCCACTCCCCCGTCCCCTGACCGTTTGGAAGGCAGTGAGGACTGCGGTACCTGATCACACAGAGCTGATGGTTGTGGCTGCCGGTGAGCACAGGCAGGTGTGGTCAGCTGTCGATGTCTGGACCTTTGTGTCATGCAGCGTGCTGCTGCCTTATAGGATGGTGTCTCATAGGCCAACAGAAGAGAGTGGGAAAGAGGTGGAGAGCAGGGTGCGTTCCGGGGAGGTCAGGGGAGCTGGAGCCTGGTTAAGAGTCCACTGAAAAGTCTGCAAATCCTGATGTAGTTTTGGGGGAAGTGTTACAGTGAGACGCGTGCGGCTGTTTCAGAGGGATCAGTTAAGTCCGAGTGCTATAGAAGCAGACTCGGTATAGACCAGAGTTTCTCAAATTTTAGTCACCTGGGGACCCAGTGAAAAGTGCACATTCTGAGCAGTGGGTCTGCGTTTCTAACAAGCTCTCAGGTGATGCTCTTGTTGCTGGTCTTCAGACCACTCTCAGAGGGTAGACTTGTGTTCAGGGGAATCTGGAAGAAGAGCCACTGGGGAGTTAAAGACAACAGCAACAAGGAAAAGCATGATTTTGTTTTTCTTTCTGAGCACGTTCATAGCCAGAGGGAGGAAAAGAGTTGAAGTAGAAATTAGAGATGTAAGCTACTGCTGCTAAGCAGAGAGGAAAAAGAAGTGGTGGGGATCATCTGTCAGAAGAATAGAAAAGGGGAAGAATTAAGACCACAGATGTAAAGGTATCTTTGAAGATTAAAGTGAAAGGAAGGAAGGAGGAAAAAAAGGCAGCAGGTAGGTGATTTTGGAATTGAGGAGGAAACTTGAGAGAACTCCTTTCCGATGGCATCAGTGTATTTGCACTGAAGCCAGGTTAGATCATTGCCAATCCAGAGAATACTAG